TAACCTTTGGTTTAACGAGTACTTTGGTTTGCTGCTACAGGGAATAAAACATTTTTTCGGTAACATGTTAAAGTTACCATTAGTATGCCATTTATTCTAAAAATAACTATGACGTAATTGCTGATCAATTAAATTAAACGAAGACGAGAGAAAGGTTTGTCATCGTTAAGAGATCACAATCATTCTTCATTGCGGAAGAATTTACTCCCTTTCTAGAATACAATCTTTCAAGCATCTAGAAGACTCCGCATTTAATAGTCAATTACGAATGTAATAAAGACCGTCACTTGTAGCACTTTCTCCCTCAATGTTGCAGTTAATAGTTTGCGTCAAAACAATTAACCTTGCTACCAACCGTAAAATCTATCTTACGTTGATTACATATTGTGTTACCAACATTTCAAATGCAATCTTTTCTTCTTGTGATTTTCCCAATAGCAGATTTACTTTTAGCATATTAAACAGACAGTATGCCTATCTGGTGGTTATAGAAGTAAGAGCATTGCCTTGCAATTTAGTAGGCATCGTCATACACGTATTATATACTTAAAGCTAGAATCTGTCATCAGTCACACGTACAATATATATAAACTCTAGTAAAATTTGGTTTAAAATATCTCAAACTATATCAAAGGGCAATCCAGAAACGAGTTTGGAAGACATCTAACGATTTTTAAGAAAATACTGTACAAGCAAGTCATAATAATCATCAGACAATGAAGTGTTCAGCGTTGGCGGATATCAACTTCTTACTGGAATTTCTATTGTTTTGCACCATTATAAGGGTAATTTGGGTAATAGTAATCTAATGACTCTTTTTCGGTGATTAGGAGGAAATCATAATGTCTGCAAAAAGTTACAACGAGCTATAATAATCTCTGAGTAATTTTGAACAGGATCCACATTGCAGTTTAACTTCGCTGTACCTCCAAATAAGAAAACCAAATGTGATTTTCTACGACTTGTTATTGTCTTGTTGTCAAATTAAGTTCTCATTTGACATTAGCATATTTCAAAAATAATCTCGTTATAAAAAATCCTTAGGTACATGGACAAAATTTGCCAAACACAAAACACAACCAAACTTGTATGGACTTAGAAGTATAGAACGGTTTGAAATATTTTCAAAATTCTGTTTCTTATGATCTTCTAAAGAAAAAAAATGTTTTTATTTGTGTGGGAAACATATTTTTAAATATTTGTTATCGGCAAAATGACTGGCAAATACTGGCAACTTAAAATAAATAAGGTGTTTAAAATGTTGCATAACGAACATTCGATATTTTTTATTGACTAAACATCAAAGAATAATTTTATTTTGGTATAGGCATCTCCAGGAGTGTGATGTCAAAAGACACTCAAGGTCCTTCCCAGTTTCTTGCTCATCCTAAACCTTGGCACATTTGTGTCCTCAAGGTCTGGTGTACCACCTAGCATAGGGCCTTTCATGCATCACAGACTACTATAGAACCTGTCAAATAAATTGTGGTCATGAGTTTTCACTGAAGGTGAAGGAGCTCCATTCGTAAGAATATCCACAACTATTTGCAGCGTGTTTTATAATTTTTTTTTTTTTTTTTGTAAATTAATAAACATTTTTATCACAATACTATTCTGTAATATATCAACAATAGTCCCACTGATAACATAAACTCCACCATTAACAAAATGAAAAAATAAAGTATTCTCTCGTTTTCATAAAAATTGTTGTAGATTCCACTCGTACTATTAAATAGGGCATGAGCTAAATTAATTCAACTAAACGTTAAAAATTAAATGCTACAAATCTGCTTCAGACACATAACGAATAATTTGAATTTTATTTATCAACAACTTCATTATTGAATGTACAAACTTACCACGTCTTTATAAATAAAAATATTTAGTTTTTTAATCAAGTTTTAATGGCTTGACTGGACAAACTGTTTACTTTTCAGTATGTGTGTATGTTGCACATTAGTCCTTACTGGTTGTTTTGCTTTTTCATAAGAAACGAGAGCACAGTAGAGTTGTAGATGCAACTTTTTTCAAATTTCTCTACAATGTTAAAAAGTTTTTTTAGGCTACCAAAAAAAACCTGCTAACGGCATTTGGTTACCTTTGAATGCCCAGAAAATGGACAGAACCCTAAACGATTGAAAAATTGGGAAAAGACAAAAATTGTTCCAGGATAGAACAGTAGGTATCTCAAATTGACTGAAAAGATACTTTGGTAATGCATAAATATATAAATTAAATAAATAATCACAGACGTAGATCTGATTTTATAAATATGCAGAAAATAATTTGCCACAGTCATCATCACTGTTCAATAAATCGAGTTAGTCTCTTTCTCTTATTTTATCACACAACTTTAAGTTAAGCTACATAGAGTAGACTACTGGTACTTGAATGAACCTGAAATTTTTAGGAGGGAGAAGTATATATTGTAATCTCACTTTTAACTTAATCTCTTTTAACTACCTACTGGTAATAAAGTGCTACTTGCTAATTATATCTCCTCACTAACTAACTGTTATCAGTTTAACCACAGAAAACATACTACTATACCCAGAATGCTAACCGCATGGTAAAAAGCATTAAGTGTTTTGAGAGAGCTTTGCCTGTCAATTCGTAGGCAGCGCCACCAGCGTTGCTATGTTGAGTGCATGGCAACGCTGGTGGCGCTGCCTACGAATTGACAGGCAAAGCTCTCTCAAAACACTTAATGCTTTTTACCATGCGGTTGGCATTCTGGGTTATAGTAGTATGTTTTCTGTGGTTTAACTATAGTACAAGCATGAACCTGGTAGGTTGTTATCTCTTCTGTGTAGTACCATAGATTAAATGAGTAGACTTGTCTACTCCTTTAATCTATGTTAGTACTGTATAGTTAAACTTTGTCAGTGGCTGATAAAATACTATCTGACAACTTAACATGTAAGTTGATTTCATTGTTGTAAGATGAGTATAGGTTGAAAATAAAAGATTTCTGAGAACATTTTTAAAATGAAAATCAACTTATCAAGTATCGACATATTCTTAGGTATATTCTTTCTTTCCTAGCGTAATTATTATTTTTAAAGCAATATAGACCCCCCTATATTTATATTTACAAAATGTTAATCAGTGAATTTTTACTTTTTCTACCTATTCATAGTTGTAGTAGTCTATTGGAGAAAGTATTGTTTTAGTCAAAGTTTTTGAGTTTGAGTTTTGAGTGACGGATCCCCCTGAACCCAAAACAAGTTATTTTCAAAGTGATGTCTGTGTGTCTGGATGTGTACGTCCGATTTTGATGACATTCGGTATGAAGGTACTAATTCATGGTATCTCCAGGTATTTATTTCATTTTTGAAATTTGATTTTCAATATTAATCCTTCCATAAAATAACAAAACACAGATTTGTACAAAAACTGCTCGGACAATTTTGATTAAATAGCCTACTATTAGGGTCCTTTTCACTCTAAACAAAATGATAAAACACATAAAAATTACAATTCAAAAGTTGCAACTTTCGGGATTTTACCTATAAAATATCATAGTTACTCCCACCGTTTCCCTAATTATAAGGGTTGTTGACAAGCTAATGAGAGAAAGTATGTGTCAGATTGCTTATACTGTTTATTAAAATTAATTTTGACATCAGAGTAATTTATTGTGTAAGGAAATTGTTACTCATGAGTCATGACTAACATAATCATTTCCATTACGCAATCAATGACTAGAGCAGTTCATAAGTCATTAAACAACACTTATGTTGGGATACAAAGCAGAAAGCACAGACCTACAGTCAGAATTTCTAACTGCTTTTACTGGTCTCAAATGCTGTACTTAAATTGCTGTATCAATCAATCAAATAATTTCTCAATATTTTCTGTAGGCCTACAAAATATTTTCTCAAGAACTGTTATGTTTAGTTGTTCAAAATAAGTTGGTTCCAGCTACACAGCTCAGGTGTACCACAACACAAAAATACACAGAAACCTTCTGTTTATAAACACCATAGTTTGTTTACGAAAAGTTGTGAAATTGCAGCTATAATCTTTGGTTGTTTTCATTAGTAAATTTGCAAAAGGAGATAAACCTAAATACTGCTTTATCTTTGTGAAACAAAGAAAACATCCATAAAATAATCGTAAAAGTAAGTCATTGTATGACCAAACACAAGTGAATACCCAGAGTTCACTAAAAATTAACAATGCTCTACAAAATTTAGAATCTACTTTGATAAATTTATAAAACACACCAAACTTATGACAACGGTCTTCTTAGTTCATATTTTGGATAACAAGGCTATTTTGAACTTTTATCATATTTTACAACAGCAATTAATAAAGTAATACACGGTGAATTCACGATATTATATTTTTTAAATATCACACCCAGGACGCTAGGCTGTAGCCTGGAACCGTTTTACACATTACTTCAGGCTAGTTCTAGAGGGTCGCGGCACTATCACATGGATAAAATCCATGATTGGTAATTGGCGGGATTTGAACCCGGGACCTCGGGCCCCAAACTCCCGCTCTACCACTAGACCTGCTCGCTACCATTGACTATCAATGTCGCTACCATTGACTATACACCTATAGTCAATGTCGCTACCCACCCCACTGCCCTGGCAGCTGAGTAGTTTTAAAAACTCTCCGCATAAAAGATCATGTCCAAACCCAGCTGCTATTATTATCAGAATTATTTTTCCTACTATGGTTGAGCTAAACAGACACTTTTGTTTGTTTGGAGAAGGCAAACGTTTGTTTGATTAAGAAAAATTAAGGTTTAGATTATGGTATAATATTTGAATATTCAAAACATAAAGTAGTTTTATGTGATTATTTGCATTGTGATGAAATGTAATTTTTCACAAAAGTTCTGTTTCGGGGCTCTATACATGCAGTTGTTTTCCGCTTGGCTTCAATTTGCTCTTGCACTACATACAATATTGCCACAAAACGTGTCACTTTCAGGATTAGTAGTGAAATATACTGTTTTGTCTAAAAAAAAATATATTTTGCAGGTCTGGGAGGGAAAAGAGGTCCTCCGCAGCTGAAAATTTTGTGAAGGAGAAGAAGGAACAAGAGGTGAAGGACCTCAAAGAGAAGGGAGAAGTGCAGCATGTGAGCACGTTCAGACAGGCACTGCCACAGGTAGGTTATCAACATTGTTGACGAAATATAAAGTATACTAAAGAGAAATATCATACAAATAAATCTACTACGCCAAGGAGTGTCATAGGTATTCATAATGGCTTATAGTTATTTGTTGGTCCCAGGACATTTTCTTTATTTCTTGTTCTTTGTTGTAAAAGTTCCTTAATGTTTACAATTTTTTATTATTCAACAGTTTGTCCATTCCAAATAAATGTACTGTATACCTATCTACTTACAGCCCATATTTAATCAGAGGTACTTCTGTGTGTCTGTATCATCCTAGATATCATAACAAATCATCATCCTGATTGACTATAGCAACTATTGTTCTATCATCATTCAATTGAAAATACAAAGAAAGACTGTTGTAGTATAGTGATTTTATTACAAAGGCAAACAATCTTATTGAGCTGTGGAAAGCAAATACATAAAAAAACTTATGCTGTCCTGCAATCTCTTATGTTATTTTTGTTGTTTTAGTTAATATCAATCATTGGTTCATATGGATTTTGTTTACTTTTATGTTTGTTAAAATTATATACAATCCTACTAAGATTAAATAAAATCATTTTGAATTTATAATTTTACAAACCAAACCTATTTAAAGATAAAATCTAAAAGCACACATCTCTGAACCATCGATTGCTCATTAGAAAAATGTGTAAGTGTGTTTTTATATAAAATACATAGCACTCATTTAATATTGTTTTAACAGGTTTTGGCAAGTACCGCAAAGAATCTGATTCTGCTAGACCTCGGCATGACAGTAGCATTCCCAACGATTGTGATTCCTGTGTTACTCAACGCCAAAACTGGTCTATCTTTCACAACTTCTCAAGCTTCATGGTTCGGTAAGATATCTTGCATTTAAGAAGATAAAGAATATAGACAACAATTGCTTGAATTTGTTCAACGTTCAATATCTTTATTTATTAAGAAGTAGACTATATATTTGAATTATGTACTAACTACCAACGTAAAATCATTTACATCCAAACAATTCAAATGGTGAGTTTATTCATGCTTTTATACTTTTTACTCATTGTATATGAGCTTTCAATGCAGATAATTCTGAATTATATGGTAGTAAAATTGACAACGAATTAAGATGATGCTTGCAAAACATGATAATAAGGGGGCGTTCAATCAATAAGGTAAGACCAAGTGGAAGGTATAGATTCCTTCCCCTAAGTCCACCTAAATTTTGTGAAGACAGTAGACTGTGCTACTGTTAGAGCTATAAATATCACAGACTATACGATGCAAAATCTCTTAACTGCAGTTTTCTATGTTACATCCAAGCGTGTTGCAGGTAGCATAGGCTTCATTTGCCAGCCCCTAGGTAGTGTTCTGTCTGGCATAGTTCTGGAGCCTCTAGGACGCAAATACTCCATGCTACTGGTCAACGTTCCTCACATCATCGGATGGTACCTCTTCTACAGTGCAAGCTCTCTCTTTACCATGTTCACTGCCATCATCATCATGGGTTTGGGTAAGAAAACTGTTCAAAAAATATCAGTAATATCAATGATAAATATCAAGTTCGTTGTAAGCTGTACAGTACATCTCATACAACAATCTGGTGGTTTTTAAACATACGAGTACTTTACAGTACATGTTCAAGCTCAAATTTCATTTCTAAAATTTTTTTGTTCTTTTGAATGAAACCGTGAAAACATCTGATCATAGCACTTTGATTGTTGAACACATGGAACTAAACTTGTTTTACCAGTGAGATACAGTAAAACAAAATAATTTAAAACAAAAATCAACACGAAGCTATGGTCAACAAATTATTAACAAATATTTGGTCATGAAAAATTACTAAGTACTTCATTTTAGTATACCGTTTATCAGTCATTCCATCTTTTAAACAATTAAGTATTCATACCTAATAATGCACACTATTTATCCGTGATGAATGTAATCAAGTGACAGTGACACATAAATGATGGTTTAGGTGTGGGATTCATGGAGGCTCCGATCATTACGTATGTAGGAGAGATCTCCGAGCCCAGGTTCAGAGGAATGCTAACATCCTACGCTGGTATCTTTGTGTCTCTCGGGTTCGTAGTGATCTACGCAATGGGCAACTTCACAGACTGGCATCATGTTGCGGCTATCAGCTGTACCATTCCTGTCATCACCATTATTGCCATTTCTCAGGTAATTTTAAGGTACAATTTTGCTTTCCAATGTTCAGAGGTTATTTACTGATTAATAAAAACTAGAAACCTTCCAGAGGTACTGCAACAAAAGGTGGTAATTTTTTGAAAATATATGTAAGTTACGTAGCTTTCTGTCACGCATTATTTTTCTTAAGGCGATTCAGATAATCCAAGTCTATATCCTATTATAAAAAATATCCTATTTTTAATAGGTTCCATTTGTATGCATTCTTAGTACTGTACAAATCCTTTTTGACAAAATTAAAGGTTTTCATAAACCTATTTTTCATCATTAAATTCTGTAGACTCAATACAACCCAGTTTTATGAACATAAATAAATATAGATATCCTAAACAAACACTAAGCAAAATTCCATTTGTCCATTTCAGTTTTCATTGAAATATTATTCCCTGTATGGGAAATTGGCTAAAATGTTATTTCAAAATTTAATTGTACATCAAAACAGTTTTTAAATCAATAAGGGCATTTGTGTTTTTTTTTTCACTTATCAAATACAAAATTAAAAAAAACTTTACTAGATTTTTAATTTAAGATATAAATTTGCTCAAGGGATTTTGAAAACAATTTTTAAGAAAGCATTTAATTTTTTTATTCAAATTTGAGCAGAAAATCTTGGTCATCTAAATCTCTGTAAGATTTTATACTGTACCTCATTAATCATAAGTTGACGTTCAGGTGCCAGAGACGCCGCTGTGGCTGCTGTCTCGAGGCAGGCTGGAGGAAGCTGAGAAAGCTTTGTGTTGGCTTCGAGGCTGGGTGGAACCGAGGAACATTCGTGCGGAGCTGCTGGAAATGATCCGCTACAGCGAGGCGTCCCAGCTACGGAAGTCCGGGACTCTTGAGAAGGCTGCGTACACCAACGATGTCAGCATAGACGATGAGGGCAAAACTGTGACTTTGACATCCAATGGAGTAGCTCTCAAAAACGAAAAGTCCGGTAAAAGTGAGTTCGTAACCGTTGACTTGACTCAACCAGACTCAAAGAGTAACAACAATGCTGAAAACTGTGTGAAGTTTGCGAGTGTCGGGGAACACGAGACAGACTGGAAAGTGAGAATGAAAGACCTTGTGAGACCTGAGATGTTGAGGCCGCTGGGACTCGTCATCGGTTTCTTCTTCTTCTTGAACGCATCTGGCATTGCAGCGATGAGACCCTACTTTGTGAAAGTTTTTGAAAAACTGAAGTTTCCAATAACACCACTTCATGCTACAGTAAGTGTTAGGCAACCTTAACTGGAAGAAAACATTACATTTTGAATGCATTTTCAAAACTATTAACATAATTAAATGTGTTAAACATTGTACTAAATATACTAAATTGTGTTGTAGACAACAATTCCCATACATTTATGACATAAATTGTTTTGTCTCTTTAAAATTCACATTTAAAACCTTGTAAAGAAATTTGGTCAGCCTTCTTGGATCTTTGAAAGCAAAGTCCATTAACAAATCAATCGCCAGGGGGTTTAAAGCCTTAAATGAAATAAACTTTTTAGTTACCTACCATTTGTAACTCTGCTAGATATTAAGCGTGTAATTATTGTTATTTGTTCCCTCATTTATCGTTTAATACATTTTGAGGTAAAATACTCAAATATTTGACTAAACTGTACATACTATTTCTCTTTCAGGTGCTATTTTCTGTGATCCAGTTCACAGCCAACATCCTGTGCATGGTGAGTGTGCGGTGGACAGGCAAACGCCCAATGGCGCTGATATCCCTGACGGCCTGCGCCATTGCTACCACCACAACAGCTCTGTATACCTTCTTCACAGATCCAGCCGACAGATCTGGATGGTTGCCGTTCATCATGTTGCTCATACTCCAGTTCTTCACTGGCTACGGAGTCGCACCAGTACCTTGGATGCTCGTCAGTGAAGTGTTTCCTTTTAGGTAAATATCCAAATTTTCTATTTTGAGTATTCGTGAATTAAGCTAGAATTATTCCTTATAGCTAATCAATGTGGAAGAGATGATTGTCAATTGTGACTTGGTTGTTGACCTAGTTCATTCTTCAGTCACAATGGAAAAGCCTTAGGTAGGACAGCTGGTCGGAGTACTAAACTATACCCATTACCCCGTTAGACAAATTACTGACTATTGTGATGAACTAGCTACAGGTCCAAAAGAAAGACAAGTTGGCTATCCAACAACTCTAAAAAGCCTACAAATCTGAGAATCGCTTGATAGTAAGAACATTTAAATGTACTTATTTCTTGTTGTTAGTAAGACGAACTCTTATGTTTCACAGAGGGCGTAGTCTGGCCAGTGGCGTAGCAGCAGCAGCCTCGTATATTCTAGGCTTTGTCGCCACCAAGACGTTCCTCAGCCTGGAGGCTAGCCTCACGCTAGGAGGAGTGTTCCTCACTTACGGCCTCCTCACCTTCCTTGGTGCGGCGTTCCTCTACTACTCCATGGTAGAGACCGAGGGCAGGTCCCTGGAGCAGATAGAGCAAGACTACAAGAAGAAAATCAACTCATGACAACGTAAATACTCAGTGATATTAGTTTGCCTAGTGTAAGATATTTTTGTACAGCTATTTATTTTTATAAGAATTATTTTTGATTGTGATTTGTTATTCCCCCTATATTCTCTGCTGTTTTCTCTTTTATTTTATTTATTACTAAGGGAACATATCCGGCACTGAATGTCGGAATTGGATATGTTTCTTATAGAAAAAAAAGTATCAGTTACCTTATTATGGCATGTGGCGGCAGATTTGATAGTTTAAACAAATTTTTAAACACAGCGAAGCATGCGTGTCTGGTCAGCTACAAAGCTAGAAATTGTGTCATTCTGTTCACAAATGATGCCAGTAAGTGGCGAGGAGCCTCGTGAACACACACACTCACACGTGAACTACGGGTTTATACTAATTACATAATAAGGTCATAAGAACAAAGTATTATAGAATTTAGAAATTTTTTTCTTTTAAAGACAGACTTGCTCAATATTCATTGTGACCATCGTGTATGGGTAGTACAAATAATTTTGTATACTGAAGCTATTTTACATTTGAAGGTTATGGAGAATAATAAAAAAAAAACTACATTTAGTTGGAGGCAAAAATGTGTCATTTTCTTATACCATTTATTACATTTTATAATAGGGTTTAATTATCCTGCCTATACTGGTTGCAGCAAGGCTGAAAAACACAAAGAATAACCAGAAATAACTTTGAAAATACGTTTAGACGTTAAATTAAAAAAGTTGCTATATTTTCAAACCTATTCAAGGTCTTTGGTTCTTCTTCTATTGAAACCACCGACTTTATCTATTTTGTCCCCATCATCACAAATAACCAACAAAAGGCGGCTGTAAAAAATAAGATGACGCAATATTTGTCCACGCATCCACAGGTCTTTTTTCGCAGCGTAACGTGAGGGTTAGTAGAGAATTATACATTTATGAGGAGTTGACAAGTTTTTCTCCATAGGATTCCTTGTTTTCCAGGAGAGTAGACACCATGCAAACTGTATGGTATAACCATTAATAACCATTAATATGGTTGTATTGCTAATACAACCAGAAAATACTGTACAGTGAACTGCAGGATAGATGTCTATTTACTACGTTCAGACGTTTGTGGTAAAACTGCTACGAATCAATGCTTTTGAGTTTAAAGTTTTTTGTGGTTTTACTGGAATAAATCTTAGGACCTACTTTTGACAACTGTAATTCTTAAAATATTTATAAATTCTTTTTAAATTCCTCACCTATAAAAAATTTCTGGACAATTTTAATTTGTTCCTGTCATAAGCATAATTCAGTTTGTCAAGTTTACTTATCTGGCTCCCACAAACTCTATTCATGACTTTGGTCGATCAAGACAGATTAAATCAAGTTTAGGATTATATGATTTGCAGCAGGAACCCTAAAGTCCAAAAGCTAAAGAATAGTGATGATTTTAAAACGCTAGTTTACAAAATAATAAGAATGTGTAAATACAGGGAAAATATAAAAACAATTAAGTTTAAATTTTTTTATATAAAATAGTGACATATAGAACGCTATATAAAAATACATGTGGTAACTATTTTGTAATTATATTAGTAAAAGCTCACAATGTTTTTTTCTCTTTGAAATACCACATCAAAGTAAACTATTTTGAAAAAGAAAACATTCACTTCATGCATACAAATCAAAATGGAAATATGTCACAAATATATGATATAAAATTTATATTAAAAATAAAATAACCACTAATGTTAAAGCATTAAGAGTATAAAATGTTTGTATACAAAGCTATAAAAATATATCACAAATTTTCTCTCAAATGTATAAATCCATAAAATTATCCTTTTTAATATAACATTCAGAATATTTTTATGTTTTTAGACATAAATTTAAAAATTGACAAACTACATGACTTTTACATTTAAGATAAAATATACAAAGCAGTTATCTAGCTGTGTTGTAGGTTGTTAAAACAGTTGTTGTGTGTAAAGGTGCCAATTTTCATAGCTAATTTTAATGCAGTAAAATTTTATTACAATGCAGGCGAGTATGATTCATGCTGCTGCTTAAGAGCTATTTCCAAACTACTTGGCATAAATAGTTTTTATTCTTATGCAACAGCTTGAATTCTCACCTTAAACTTATTCATTTGTGTGTGAATTATTGCACTAACTGGTAAACCATATATCCACGCTCAGTTTATAGTTTTGATATTGAAATAGTGGAATGTAGGAAAATAAATGCAGAAATAATTAATTTCATACTTAAGTCGTTCCAGTACAAAAGTAAGGACTTGAAATAATTAGTACAGAAATAATATCAAAGGAAACTCCTGATCTACTCGCTTTTCAAATCACAGAACGTGGTTGATTGATTTGAGCTCCAAAACCTAACTGACTCAAGTTCTATACTATGTTAAGGTTGAAGTGTCAGTTGGGTACAATAGTCAACAAAGAGTAACCGTTAATACGTTAAGCCTGAGTGTTCAGTGTATCTTAGGTATATTGATGGAAGTATAAATGGCAAGCCTTTGACTGAACAAGGGTTGTCTGAAAATTAAGGTATTCAACAAGCTCCTGACGTAGCCGAATAAACTAGTTCAAATCTCATACAAATTTTGTGCTCCTTACTTTATCCACTAATCACCTTCAGTGTTTATATTTTTGTCATCTAAGTCATCAAGCATTGTTCATCACCAGTAGACGGATGTGAATGGTGTAAAATTTTTGGATGTAGAAATGTGCGCAAGGGGTGGAAGGGGTTCGAAGGTGGTGTTAAACATTTGTGTGATGTTTCCTAAGCCGACTGTTGTCGTTCATCAGTGTTTGAAGCAGTACCTAGTTAGGAGAATTTTGCATGCAAATCGTGGTGTGACTTAATAAGAGAGACATCTCTAGGCTGGAGGCCTTAATTTACAGACAACCCTCGTCGTTAGAACCATACTACAGACGACGCTCCAGCTGAACGTTGATGCCATTCTCAGATCTGAGGATCAGCTGAGAAGCCAACAGAGGCTCAGGGGTCATGGCCTTGACCTTGTACGTCCTCAGCAGTCTGGACAGTAATGCCTTCATCTCTAGCATTGCAAACTTCTGACCTACACAGATAAATCGGGTTGCGTTAGAAAGTTTTTTTTTAATATTTATTATGATACCTTGATTAGTTTATACAATATTGTACATTATCTCTCGCAAAAAAAGTAATTTGAGGTCACAGCAAAACTGAGAATCTTTTGCAGTGAGGACGAAATCGTTAACATCTTCTGCGATCACGGTAATATAAACATCTTCCAACCAAGGCCAGGGCAAAATCATTCAAATCATGAAAATCTTCTGCAGTTACAGCGAAATCAAGAATTCCATGTCTACACAGTGAAATCATGAACATCTTACGCAGTCACAGTCAAAACCACCAGCATCTTTCATGGTGACGGCTTTTGGGCCAAAGCCGGACAGTCCAGCCGTAAGTGTTCAGACTACACCTCATTTTCACGGAACCTGCATTGGTCTATCTGTGACCTTCCAATGGTTCTAAGGTGTTTCCTAATAGGTTTGTGCCCGGTTAGCAACCCTGTCTCCCTTTTTTTAGACTCAGCAAGCCTTTTCAGTCTTTCATTGAAGGGTCTATAAGTGTGTTAGAAGTCCTTAGTCCTGGGTTGGTCACCCACGCCTCTGCCTTCCGGAGACCTTTACCTTTACCCAGTCTCGGACTTTGGCTAAACCTTTAAATCACAAAATACAAAATTCGAAAGATTCAAAAATTAACTTACCAATGCAGTTGCGAGGACCAGCGCTGAAGGGTGTATGAGCAAAAGCAAACCTGTTGACCATCTTCTCAGGGGAAAAGTTGTCTGGATTGAACTTCTCTGGTTCAGGGAAAACTTTTGGATCTCTGTGAAGTTTGAAGAGCACCAGACTAAGTGACGTACCGGCAGGGAGAAGGTGACCAGCTGTTGGGCAAGAAAAGCATACTCAGTTCGCACTTTAACAATCTACTTGGAATATGTTGCCAACGAAATGGTTCATACACGTGTATCTCCGCTAAAATATTAAAATACTGATATCAGATTTATTAAAGAATTTAAGGGTGTAGCATAGAGCACAAGGGCCTAGATTTTTTAGGATTTTTTGAGAGGATAGCAGGCTTACCTGAATGGGAAAGAGTCCAAACTGGCACAGGAACACCAAACTTTACACTATATACACAAAACATTAGAATATTTCACTGTCACTGACAGCATTTTCAACTAAGGAAGAGAGAGTTTTCTAGATGTCCAAAATGGTGGCCAGTGAGTTGTTGAGTCAGTTTTGCCAATAGTATGAATTCAAAAAACTCAGTTTCAGTTTATCTTATATGCACTATACATATATGAATAAATATGTAAGCCTGCTAGTTGGGTTGGATGTTGAAGTGGAGTGGGTTAGATGAAAGGTAGGATGGGAACTGTGTGTGGGAAAACTGACTCAACAACTCACTGGCCACCATTTTTGACATCTAGAAAACTCTCTCTTCCTTAGTTGAAAATGCTGTCAGTGACAGTGAAATATTCTAAATGTTTTGTGTATATAGTGTAAAGTGTTGTGTTCCTGTGCCAGTTTGGACTCTTTCCCATTCAGGTAAGCCTGCTATCCTCTCAAAAAATGCTTATTAAAGAATTTGTTTGTTATTACTATTATTAAAAACTAGGGGACCATAGCAGCAATTGCTGCCCTTCCCCTCCGTTTTAATTTGGCCTTAACCATTGCCTATGCTGTGCACCATTCCTTAATAGGTACTCTCCTTCGTAGTCGTGGTCTTCCCCTAACACGATACATTTCAAGACTGCATTAGCATTCTAACCTAAAAACTTAAGACTAAAACCAATAAACAAATAAATATGCAATGCTTAGATCAGCTGGTATATATAAAACAGCTTATAGAAACACTGTAACAGTTATCCATTCGAAAATGACTGTATCTTTGACGGCCTGTGGAGCAAAGCAGGGGTCATTTTTGACACTTCTGATATTATTCCCACCGCCCTTGGACCGTAAGCTTTCAAATGAATCCTCAACAGCCATGCTACCTTTTTCCTAGCTCGAGATATTTTGTGGGGACCAATTCGCTTGCGGAATGAAATATATAAATCTAATGGTGTTCTGTATGTTTTTTACTCAAACAAATTTTTACAAAATTGTGGAGCTAATCAGTACTAAATCAAGGATCCGTTTCAGACTACTCACGCTCCGATACTGACCAATTTGCTTTGCCAATTTGGCTGTTAAAGTTCTGAGGTGAGGCAGCATAAACAAAGCAGAACTGTCAAATGCACTAAAACACAATTCCACACAGCTGGTGTTAAAATTAAATAGAGATGTGATATTCTGAAAAACCATGTTGCTAAATTAAAAGATCGACTCATCTCGACCTGACTAGAGCATCGCCGGAAAGCCCAAACCAAGCCCCTGGGCCAACTGTTGGCCCAAACTGATCCGAAACTTTTGATTTGGGAATGTGTGACACAAATAATGTATGTGGTAGCCTACAGAGATTAACAGATCTTACATGGAAGTGTGAAGTCTTCGTAAAGGTATCGGCCGATGTAGGGGACAGCTGGGTAGAGTCGGAGGGTCTCTTTGATCACTTGCTCCGTATACTTGAGAGCCAACAGTTCCTGATACGTGGGGTCTCTATCAGAGTCTCCCAGCACAGTCCTCACCTCCTCCACAACTTTATCCTGCAAACACAAAAATATTCACTTCTCAAATGTCAAGCTTGTTATGTTTACTAAATAAGTTAGAATATGTCATCTTTGTATTTGTAAACTGGGTCTTCACAGTTGGAAGGTAAAATAAATAAACCAATGCAAGCCAATAATAGTATTACATGAACAGTACCACGTATTAACTGGTATGGACTGGTACGGTGTACGGGTATTCCAGGATTACTAGGAGGTCACAAATTGTCGATATTTATAGGCATGCACTGTGGATGCGATACTCCCTGGTGTGGATTAACGTCCGCACTAGTGAGTACTACAACTATCCACAGTACTATCCTGATAATTAGACCAATTCGTTAATACCAAGGCAAAAATGTGGTTCGGATTCCACTATAAACTATAGGTCCCTTAGTTTCGTTAGCTGTATGGGCTATTAATTAACAGCTGTATCTAAGGAATATTTCGGCCTTAGTCACTAACAAGACAACAAGATCACGCCATTCATCTGCATTCATACTTGGCATCTACCTTTGTATGGTCCCCATTTCAAAGAAAAGTATTAAAGTAACTACTCTCAAAGTGTTTAGCTTAAAACAATAACAAAAGAGTCTCACCTGGATTTCAGGATTAGAGGCCAGAGAATAAATTGCAAAACTAATTGTAGATGAAGTTGTGTCATGACCCTGCAACAGCAGACAAATTATCAGACAACAATGAAAACTCTTAGCTAATAATACACAGACATCTCAATACTGACACGACAATAATTACTTAAACGTCCTAAACAATCGCATAATTGTTTATAACTGCTAATGTGATATGTAGGCTGAGCATAAGATGTATCCCACTACATTGCCATTATCTGTTCGGCGAATACGTTTATGTTCCCTCACACTGTAATTAGCTACAATGACGAGACTAATCGCATATGTTTAGGGGGCCCGCAAGAATAGTGGGAGAAATAAAAAACATGGCTGGTTTCAGATTTATACTAGCTTTTTTGATAACAACTAGACCGTATTAAATACCCTAATTTATAGAAAATACTTACATAATCAACAATTAGTCAATAGATTTTATATTCTAAGTCTGTAATGTAATGTAAAAAATCTTAACTAAAAACAAACTTTGACTCATATTATTCCAAAACTGATCAAACCATTTACATACCGCAAACATAAAAGTGTTGACTTCATCACGAATATCTTTATCGTTGAGGTGAATTGAAGAATCCTTGGCATACTTCAATATCAGATCAAGAAAAACAAGTCTTTTCTTTGTACCTGGAAAAAACTGTAGATTACAATATCATACAAAAACCATTCCCACAAACAAGATAAAACAATAGCCTAATTCCATTAATAACAATTCAAAAAAGAAATGCAAATATTTGTGTTGTGTAAATACTTCAACTTTTTCACCAGTTTACTTTGAGTTTAATGTTGTTGCTTTGAGTTGTGGTTTACAGTGGAGGTATTCTTTGACGTTGTCTATAGCGATGTAATATTGGCAAATATCTTACCATAATACTCTTCATCGACATCCTTTTCTTTACTGATAGAACTTCCCTGATTCTTTTCTTCCTCTTCAAAAGCTTTCTTTTTCTGACTAATCACCTGGAAATGAAAGGCAAAAAAAATGTAATTTCATTATGATGTATACTTAAAAAGGTTTCAAAGGAACTAGACAATACCCAGATCAAGTTCTTGATCTACACCCTCAAGACTAACATAGAAGAAGAGGCAGTAAAAATGTTAGATTTTGGATCTACTCTTGGTTAATCAGGATTAGTTATATTACAACAGTAGACTCCCTCTTATCCGCTCACCTTTAAACCGGGCATCGGTTTAACCGGACTAGATTGGCAGGATGTGGGCGGTACTGAAACGACTGTTCTCGTGGGAAGAGACATGTGATCACGTGTCTAAATACAATGGACTTCTAAATTTAAGTCAAATACAGTATACAGTATGCATTTAAACGTTCCGTTTTAACAAGTTTTTGGGGACGTCGGTTTAACTGGAAAACCCGTTATCCGGACTGGCCCCAGTCCGGAGGAGTCTACTGTAGTGTGGAAAATAGGGACTTACCATACAGGTACGGTAAACCCATTTTGAATGAGTGGCATAAGATATTTTGGCCATTACAACCCAAACTAACCACACAATAAAACAATTGCCAAAATATGTTACATTTTCCCAATGTTAAGTAAGGAATCACTACCATAGTGGTACTCATGAGAAATTATGATATATCACAGTCTTGGAACAGTAAGAATCAAAACATACCTGGTCAACGTAATTGTTTATGTAGTCGAGGTGTTGGTTGTATTTTCTGCCAAGAGGGGACAGATTGAACACAACGTCTGGAAACAGCCAAGGTTTGAAGGCACGGACTAAAATTGCATCAGAAACACTGAAAAACAATGTTTTCGGCTCAAGTAATGTGCATGTGAATTGTAAACAATCATTAAAATAAAAATTAAAAGTAAAATGCAACTTTCACAACTGCTATAAAGGATGACTGCCTCCAATAAATCCAGAGATGTTAAAATCCAAAAGAGTCATTCGGTATTTTAACTTAATTTCCACTAGGTTCTAGTGTGATACAATATTTTACATTCCTAATGTAAGGTAGGACTATAAATTTTCTTTGTTTTCATGGATTTCTCTAGATACACATCACTGTTTTTAAATACCAACAGGATACTTAGGCCTATTCACTAGGATTATCCATATAGTTTTTTTTACTGAGCCTAAAGCAACTCTACAACTTACAAGACTGGATTATTTTGCTTTAAACATTTCCAGATTTAAGGTCTTGGAATTAGCTGGTGACTCATACTTCTTGAATCTATTTTTACAAACTTTAAAATTTTGAAATAAATAAGAAAAAGTTAATTGACCTCGGCTAACGCTGAAGCTCCAAGGACAACAATCTGTTCCACCCTATTGTGATGGTATGAACAATCTTTTTCTTAACTTTTGGCTACGCAAATGAATCATTCAAGGAAGTTTTTACACTAATAAAACTATTATTTATGACTTTAGGAGGCTCGACTGTTTCTTAATTATTCGAAAAAGACCAATAACAGGAACAAATTTTACAGTTTTCTATATAACTCACACTTTTAATGATTTGGTAAATTCAGATTCCTCATTCAACTGAGCATCAATGCTTGTGGCCATCGCCGTCTCTGTAATGATGTTTAGTGGTGAAAAATAAAATCTATATAAATCAACTATGCTCATATTTGTTAGTGAATAAATAAAGTGAAAAAATAAGAAGGAAAAGTAATTTAAAGGTTAGTTGAACACAATGCACAAGAAAATATTACAACTGATAGATTCCCTAACCAATTGACACCAAAATAATTTTATTTTATTTCTCTTTAATTTTTTGTTATTATGTACTTTTATGCCTCTTATTATTTTGTATTTTAACACAATAGCCTATATCCATTTTTACCTAAATAGCCTAAAAGCCAAAAAAGAAACATCTGTTTTTTCCTCCTCAATACTGACTAAAAATACCCCCGCCGCAGCAAACCTGCAGACTAAGCGAATTTCCATTTCCCTGAATGGATTTACACTAAAATGTCTCCTTAAAATTATCACATTTATTCCCTATTTAAATAGAATCAGTTTAAAACATACTTAGGTTTGCTGCAACAGGGAGGGTAAAAGTGTTTTTTATGTAAAATGTTAATAGTTAGTAAGAAATAAAAACATTTTCCAAATTTGGGCAAAATATGTTTATAAACAAGCAAACTACAACAGTTTACTTATTCTCCATAAGAATAACATGGGAATTTTAAATTTACAATTTTTTGGAATTTTCTCTGTAACCATTAGGCGCATTATAACGCTTCAATATACTAAATTATTTGTTTTTTTAAGCTCTACAAAATAGTTTCGAAAGAAATTGCAAAATTTTATGTTTTTTGGGTCAAAAATGGGAAAAACCCATTTTTACCCCATAACAGCCCCCATAAACCCCCGTTCCCATGGTCCGATCATGCTGGTTCGCGAACTCGTTCGAATAAACGTAGGTTTACACGTTTGTACCAAATTTCATCAAAATCGGATCATTTTTGCTCGAGTTATCGCGCTAACGGACACATATATATATATATATATATATATTACTAAGCAAATCAAAATACCACAGTACCCTAAAAACATTTTATTTTAAGTACATAAAATGTTTTTAGGGTACTGTGGTATTTTGATTTGCTTAGTAACATTTAAAGTAGCCCTCATTGATGTATACAATAACAAAATAAATATATATATATGAATTTGAACGGATGGTGTTTTTGACCTCTAGGGACCTCGAAACGAAAAAAAAAATCGGTCCCGGGTCCAGGTCTTACCGTGAGTACTACGGTAATAGCTTATTCCCTATATGGGAAATTCGCTAACAGGTGTTGTGTGCAATTCTTACTAAACTATAATGCTCTCAACTTCCCAAACCGGACACCGTTTATTTAAGGAGGGGCCTTCCACTCCAGCTAAGCTACACATTAGTAAGCTCGATACGGATTGCACTAAGGGATTCGGGCTTGCGCATGTAGAAAGACCTCAACGCTACACTCGTCAATGGATACTTATGAGTGCCCTTGCCTAACCATGCCACTGTCGGCCCACTATAAGTACACGACACTAGAGCTCATAGGTTAGATGCGACATTGATGTTAGCACTATGACTATCTAACGACGAAATGTGATACAAGCAACACTCAAGTGTCATCATCAATGGGTTAACAAGGAACTGTACAATTAGCATAAAAATGTAAAATACAAATTTAATGATATTTTCAAAAAAGATTAGTTTAAATCTACCATAAACCGACACCTACATCTAATGTAGCCTATCACTGTGACTGTAGTTTAGTGCTGCTGCAAAAAAAAACCTAAGCTTATCTGGAATCTATGTTCTAAGGGTTGTAAACCAAAAAGTATGAGTGAAATGTTTAAGTTAAAGATAACAACATCCAAAATCAACCGGCTAACAATTTTAAATAAACCAATACCAGAGAGATTTTAAATAAATAATAAACTTACCACAAATTACATCCAATGTACACTTATCCACGTAGTGTGATACATCAAACTTTTCTTTTCCTAGTTCTCTCTTCAACAAGTCTGTCATGATTCTTGCGTTTTTGTTGAAAGTGTCAATATACGTCTCTAATATCTTGAAATGAAAAGCCGGAGTCAACAGTTTTCTGTGCGTCTTCCATATATCAGCTGGAAAACAATTTAAGTGAGAAGATGTCCAGATTGTGCATAGGATTGGAATAAGTTGAGATAGTTGAAAACACCAAACTTATTCAAGGGTTTAATACTAAAAAATGGCCATAGTAGTTATATAGCAATACAGGTTAAAATACAAATACAGTGAGTCCCTTACAACCTTGGATCCACACTAACTTAAACACGATAAGAGGTCAGATAAGTACTCTAGAAGACAAAGGAAGAAAAAGAGTAGAAAATCAATAAATTGAAATGAAATTCCAGTATTTTATACCTCATTTGTTGCACCCAGACTTAAGAGGGACAGATTATCAAGTGTGTCGGACTTTAATATGCCAGATTATTGAGAGTCAATGAATTAACACGATATAAATAAAACAAAGATTATGAATTGATTAAACACTATATAAAATACTCCTGTAGCAGCAAACCTGGGGACTAAGTGAATTTCCATTTGCCTGATAGGATTTTACTTAAATCTTTCCTTAAATAGGCCTATGCCAGATTCATTGTGTATTTAAACATTATGTATACCTACTTATGAATACTTATGTTTGCTGTTACTCTACTAGGGTGATTATAAGGTGAATTTTTTTAGGAAATACCTATAATTTAGGATGAAATAAGTAAATTTACCGAATTTGATCACAATAATTATATCCATAAAGAAGCAAACTACAACAGTGTTATCTTATTCTCTATAGTAGCCTATGACTATGAGAATAACATGGGAATTTTAAATTTACATTTTTATGGAATTTTCTCCATAGCCACAGTTTAATATAGGCCTACTAAATTATTTGTTTTCTTTAGCTCTACGAAACGGTTTAGGGATGAATTGCAAAAGTTTTGGTTTTGAGGTTCAAAAATGGCCAATGGGGAAAACCTCATAAAACCCCGTTCCCATAGTCCAATCATGCTGGTCCACGAATTCATTAAAACGTTTGTAGGTTTACACCATCATAACAAATTGCATCAAAATGGGATGATTTTTACTCGAGTTATTGTACTAAAAGACACATGTATAAACATATATATACAAATTTGATTGAATAGTGTTTTGGCCTCTAGGGACAACAAAAGAAAAAGAAATGGTCCCAGGATTGCCGGTATTAGGTAGAGACCTGCGATAATAGCTTATTCCCTATGATAGGAAACTCGCTAAAAGAAAGTCAAGTCTTACCTGGGGAAGAGACAAGACCATTTCCCAACCACTTCTCCAAAAAAGCATAAATCTGAGGTTTATTCAAATGTACATTACTACTCAAAACTGCCTGCAACATGAAAGCAATCACAAAGTTGTAGAGCAAGTACAATTTTTCCTACAACATGCATTGTAGTATGACTAGCTTACAATCGAATTCAATCACACAAAATTACATGCAGCATAATTTTTCATCATTTAGGCCTAAGCCGTCATCACTGATCAAACTAAACACATCCTCCACCTGTAAATTTTTAAAATTTCTGTTTGTGTGTCTTTCAATATTCTCTTAACTTGATGATTTCAAAATCAAGAATGCAATGATGTTCACCTGAAGAAGATTTCATGTTAATAAATCAAAAATGTTTTATTAAACCTCATAAAACTATTCCGTTAATATTCATTTTATTTGAAATTAGGCCCCAAATATATTTTGAGCAGCTGTGACAATAGCTTTCTGATGGTGTGCTAATATATTTGTCAGCACTGTTGTAGTTAATATTCTGAGCCGATAAACTCGAAACAATAATTATTTTACAAACTCATTAGAATCCTGGACGTTCTCATTGTAGGCTATCTAAACTAATTTAAGGTTTGACTAATCTTGGGTGAGAAAACTATCACTTATTCAAGAAAAACTACGTTAATATGATTTGTTGGCTTCCAAAACCAAATTTTTTCCCAAATTTAATGACGAGACGACCAGGACACACTTATTGTATGACGTAATTATTTTAGTCAAACTTGCTTTATTTTTAAAGGACAAAATATAATTTTCAATCAAATAGGCTATAAATGTTTAAAAAAATAAAATGAAAGCTCAATAGAGCAATGGGGGAATTGCGGTACCATCTTCAAATTGAATGCTTCGAATTTTTCGTCTAGTTCCCCGTAGCCTAAGCAAAACTGCTCGAATGATGGAAAGCTGGCTTTGGATCCTCAACCATCCGATAATTACTTGTCAATGCAACGCCTTAGCCAACTGAGGTACAGTGCCACCGTCAGTGGACGAGTGAAACTAAAAGCACACGTTGACACTAGCACTTGCAAGATAAATTTGATTTAACTATTGAGCGCCAGTGGGTTAGTAGTTCAACTGCCTCGCTGCAAAATGTGCTGGTGAGTTACACTCAAGACAATGGGTTAACACATTGATGATGACTTACAAGTGTAGTTCGTCAGTTGTCCCAGCATTTCACAACGAGATAGACGTACTGCTAGCTCACTGGCACACCCATTGGTATTATTGTTACCGTAATATTATTCTTACAACAACAAAAATAAGGGTGAATGAAGACAAAAATCTACTGTGAAACCTTAGAGTATTTGAAAGTGATTATTACCTCAATATCCTTAGCGTCAGAGAGAATCACGTAAGCTTCTGGTCCCATCCATACTTTGACAACAGGGCCGTAGTCGTCAATCATATTTTGTAAATTCTTCAATAATTCTAAAAAAAAGTAAATGTTCAATGTAAATGAAGGGAAGAATGTTTTTAAGCAAGTACAGTTATTACAACTTTTTCCCATGTTTAACATTACTACAGAGATTTTACTATACTAAAAAACAAAAAGTGTATTTAGGGAGTCATATTTAGCAATGTCGGATTTAGAACTTTCAGCCCCGGGCTCAATTAATCCGAGCAACTCCCGCCCCTTAAGAGGAACTTTCCCATGACTGCAGCGGAATCATGATCTCCTGCGGTCACGGAGGCATCAATCTACCGAGAAACCGTGAACATCTTTCGCATCATCCCCACATGTGATTGCTGAAAAATCATAAACGTCTCCTGCGACCATGGGACATGGTCATCGTCACCTGCAATCATGGCAAATTATTGATTTTAGAAGATAAAAATTTAGATTTGGTTCTAAAAATTTGTTTTAGTCCCCCTTTTGCTTGCAGGCCGGCCTAGTGGTAAATCCCGCATTGCATAGGTCTATCAGACTAAAAAATATTCCTGCTTATTTATGAACTTTAGGTACCTAATATTTAAAAACAATATTAAGACATTGTACTATGTTGTCATTGTAGTCATGTTGTAGTGTATGTTGTCATACCAAGTCAATGATAATAATAACATTTGAAGAGTTAAACTTTAATTAATCTTAATTTTATAAATACGGGTATTTATGCATTTTGGGTACCACAAGTTTTAAATACTCGGGTTTTTACATCCCTACTCTTCTAACACAATCAGATATAACTTACAGAAATACCGTACATGAAAATAATTTTAAACACTTTGAGAAGTTCAATATTTTTAAGTTTGGATTTTTAATAAGTAAAATCAATTCTTTTGTTGAGAAATATTATGTCAAAACAATATCTGTTTTCTTATTATATAGGGTACTTGTTTCTTACCAACACTGGTTTGTCCAAATTCCAAAGCCGCCCCCAGAAAGGGTAATTCACTGGGTCCTGGTAAAGGTGATAATATTTTCCGTATTCTTCTTGTGCGATTGTACTCATAGATGTACAACAAGATAAATAGACTGAACACTCCAACCAATATTGCTATCAACATATTGGTTTAGTGTATTTTCAAAGCAGACTATCTGGTTATTTAACTCTGAAAACAACATAAGGAGCATTTAGAAATAAATCAATTCACCTTTTAGTGAATTTACCATACAGGGAATTTTAGCCATTTGGGAATTAAAGCTTTTACTAAAGGTCATATCAAGACACCTGGGACCGATTTACTTTTTCGTTATGATATAAGTTTAGCCTACCCAGAGGCCAATCGTACACTGTCCGTTTTTTTGTTGAGTAAAAATGATTAGATTTCGATTAAATACTGTACAATACCTACTCACGCTTACAGTTTCGAACAAGTTTTCAAACAGAAAAATTGAAAATTTAACGTTGACAGGTTTGAAGATGTCAATCGTTTTTCATTACCCTCAAAAAATTAAAAACTCTTGTAAAGGAGCTTATTTTGTTCTATCGTAGGGATTGTAATCAGAGCAACAACCAGACTAAAAATTACCTCTTTGGTAGAGACCCTTTTGTGTAAACCAGGTAGCCTAATATTTAGATAACTTACTAACAAAAATCCTCAAAATCAAACAAGAATCATAATAAGTTAACGTTAGTTTAGTTGCTATTTCTTAGTATTTTTATTTATTTATTTATTTTTTTTTTTAAGATGTTGGCGGCCTTTTTAAATCTTGCATTTGCCCATCCACTCCAGATAGACTAAAGATCTGTGCAAGGAACGTATCCAGCAAAGCAAGGGTGAGCCGTGAGCCGACCCCTCGCACCATCCCCAGACGAACAACCATTGGAAACGTGCCCCCCATAGTGACAGTGCGAGTGGCCGCCCCACATCCCTAACAAAAGTGAAAGGCCGTGGGTGAATATCAAAACAAAACAAAAGTTGTCAACAAAGCCTATATTAATCTCAAAATTCAACAAATAACAATCATCAACAATGTCAGCCATCCAAAGAATTCATTTAAAAATCTTTCAAAAAATTTACCCTTCTGAATAACAAAAACTGGTACCAGTAACAAATTAGGCCTAACAATGAAATAATTAAAGATGGTAACTGTAAATATACTTTAAACTTTGAAAAAATTAACAATTAAATAAATAACAATACTATAAAAATAAATAACGAAGAATCAATCATTTTGCGGGCCCCCCTTCAAATATAAAGTTTTTTAAAATGTTCGTAATTTCAAAGTATAACTTGCGTATTGCGTGGCACAACTATTATCCTTGCTGGTGGCAGGCGGTGGTGGTGGGTGACGGTGAGTAGCTTAATGGTCCCCGGAGAAGCTGGGCCGTAGGCAGCCCAAGGAGGCAGAAGATGGAGTGTCCCTCCGGGCGACCCTCTCCGAGGACAGCGGCTGGTGAAGCCTCACATCCGGGACCTCATCTGACGTCTGGCAAAACACTTAAACCATGACTAGAGTCTACGAAGAACGGATGAACAAAATTAACAGTGACATTGAAAGATTAACACTGATATTCATCGAAGATACCCAAGTCTTTACAAATTGACAATCGCCGGCCTTCTGGTGAAAATGTGACAGAAGGCGGACATTGACTCTGGGTTGCAGGATTGCTGCCCGACCCAAACCGACTGAGTTCCGGCGCAAAGCCAGTACTCGTACTATAAAAAAAACTGAGGCGTGACATTGGTGGGACGCTTGGTGGGCATGTCACGGCTCAACCTCCCCCCCCAAAGGAGGACTTCCTCTCCAAAAAAAAAGAAAACAACCTCTCCCAATTCTAGAAGATCTCAACACCACAGATCAACTCAAGTGTCTGAAGTGGGGAACGCCAAAAGTCTTTCAACTGGAGGGACTACTCACCCCCAGGGTTTGCACTGGCCAGTGCTGGAAAATTTACTAGGGAAAAATCTTCAGCAGCGCACAAGGGACAGAAGAGGTGATCAAGCTCTCTGGCCCAGTGCACTTCCCACTCAGACACAAGAGTAACGAAAGATGACCTACGGAATTGTTCCCCGGAAAGGCTTCAGATGAGAAATGTGAGCCCTCCGGAAAACTTCTCCAGTCTGCGGATTTCCAAGCCGCACGGAGACAGGAGTCAAGAACTTCAAGATGCGGTGGGGACCTGACCACCGATGAGACAACTTAGCGGCTCTCTTGTCCACGGCCGAACTGACCGGATGAGCCTTACAGAAAACCAAATCCCCCACCTGGAAAGGATTGTCCAACCGACCTCGATTGTGCTTCCTCCGTACCAATTCCCTAGCTCTGATCAAGTTCCTCCTAGCCGCCTGCCAAGTAGCCTTGACATTGGCAGCACCAGGGGGTGGCAGAAGGTCGCCAATTTTCCACACATTTGCCAAGGGATTATTGGGTGGATAGCCCAACAACAGCTCGAAAGGGACCGCCTTGTGACTCTCATGGTGTGCAGTATTGAAAGCAAATTGAATCCAAGGAAGTTCCTGATCCCAGGTGGTCTGCTTGTCAGCATGAAAAGCTATGAGAGCGGATCGAAGATTTCTGTTGAACCTCTCAGCATGGGAAGGCTGTGGATAGTAAGGAGAAGTGGTCACATGGCGGATACCGTGCCCAAAGCACATTCTTTTGAAGAGGTGAGAAACGAACTGAGTTCCGTTGTCGGAAACAATGGTGGCGGGTATCCCAAAGTGTTGGAACAAATGGGTACGAAGTGCCTGCACGGTGAGCTGTGCAGTGGCGTTCCTCAAAGGAAAAAGCCAACAAAACTTGGAGAAGGCATCCACACAAACAAGCAAGAATTTGTTTCCTGACTTGCTACGTGGGAGAGGCCCTACATAGTCTATGAAAACCTTCTCCAAAGGTCTCTCCGCCACCTCAGATGACAACAACCCATACTTGGTATTCTGAGCAGGCTTGCTTAGCGAGCATGTTTGACAAGAACGCACTCGTGCCGCAATGTCCCTGTCCATACCCTTCCAGATGAACATGTCCCTAACCTTCGCAATGGTCTTGTGAATCCCTAAGTGCCCACCCACAGGGGAAGAGTGAAAGTACGCAAAGACCATGGGTACAAGAAGACTAGGCAGCACAACCTTGGGTTTACCTCGCTGTCGGTCTCGACAACAAAGAGCACCCTGGGACAGAAAATATGGGGGGTGGGCTCCCCCATTTTGAAGCTCACCAATGATCTTAGCCAGCTCGGGATCTTTTAACTGATGTGGGATGAACTCAGAAAAGGCAAGGGGAAACTCCAGGAGCACGGCACACCCAGTGTGCTCCTCCTGATCAGAAGGTTGGTCGTCAGGTGAGTGATACATCCTTGATAAAGTGTCAGCAATCACATTCTGCGTGCCTCGAACATGTTGCACTTGGAATTTAAGGGAAGATATCTGGACAACCCAACGACCAATTTTCCCAAGCTGGCGAGGATGTGCAAGGAGCCACGAGAGCGCTTGGTTGTCGGTTTCCAGCAAAAACTCTTTGTGTTCCAAAAAACGTCTGAACTTATTCACTCCAAACACGACAGCCAAACACTCTAACTCATACACAGAAGAGCTTTTCTTTTCGCATGGGTTCAAAGTGCGTGAGGCATACGCAATTGGCTGCCTAACACCATCTACCTCTTGAGACAACACAGCCGCAATTGCGACGGAGGAAGCATCGGTTTGCAAAACAAACTTTTGACTGAAATCTGGCATCGCCAAGACCGGAGGTTGCATGATAGCTTCTTTCAGAAGATCAAAAGACATCTGTTGTGCTTCACCCCAAACAAACTTGGCGCCCTTCTTCCGAAGCTCATTGAGCGGAGCCGCCAACTCAGCCACATTGGGGATGAAGCGCCGGTAGAAACCCACCATGCCGATGAAACGGGCAATGCCTTTGACATCTCTGGGAGGAGGAAACTCCCTGATAGCCTGGGTTCTAGCCGGATCGATACAGACACCTCGAGATGATACTAGATGACCTAGGAAAGAAATCTCAGCCTGAGCAAAACTAACTTTCTCGGGATTTACGGTAAGGCCAGCCCTAAGCAACCTATTCATGACTTCCTCAAGCTGAACCAGATGGTCTTCAAAGCTCTCACTGTACACCAAAAGATCGTCAAGATAGTTGAACACAAATTTGAACTTGACGTCATGGAAGATGGAGTCCAGAAGTCTGGTGAGGGTCTGGGCCCCCACAGCTAGGCCCATGGGAACACGTGTGAACTGGTACAAGTTCCACGGAACGCAGAAGGCAGTGAGAGGTCGAGATTCAGGTTTCAAGGGAATCTGATGGTAAGCCTGGTTCAAATCAAAGACGGAAAAATACTTGGCCTTACCGAACCAATCGAACGCAGAGTGCAAATCAGGGAGAGGGACAGAGTCAATTTCAATCTGAGCATTCAACTTGCGATAATCTAGAACCATTCGAGACTTGCCATTTGGCTTTGGAACTAGAAAAGCTGGACTTGCGTAACTTGAGCGAGAAGGCTCAATTACCCCATTTTCAAGAAGCTCATTGATGATTCCACGGAGTGTTTCCATCTTGGGTGGAGCAAGCTTGTAAGGATGGGAACGAACTGGACGGGTGTCAGTCAAACGGATTTCGTACTCCAAAAGATTGGTGACTCCAAGCTTTGGCGTCAGCACCTCAGGAAAACGAGAACACAAGGTTCTGATAGCTTCAGCCTCACCAGGAGTCAGATGCCCTAATAGATCAACCTTTGGTTTGCTGGGTGTCTCAGGCTCGACCACAGCTGCACCATCCACAATTTCATCCGCAAAAGGAATGAGCACCCGTCTTGCGAAACGAAAGAAGCACTGGCCTCTGCCTAAATCCAAAATCAGGCCACAATGCTTGATGAAATCCGCTCCCAAAATGACAGGAATGCAAAGGTCCTTGGCTACCCAAAAACTCCACACCCAAGAAAAATGTTCAATCTTGAATTTCAAACGGGCTTCTTAGATGATGGGAAGTGGGGATTTCGATGCAGTCCAGCAGATGTGGGTACTTCGCTCAACTTGCTTGATTAGCCCAGAAGATTTTAGATTTTCAAACAGGGAAAGGGAAATGAGACAACGGGCTGACCCAGAATCCACAAGGGCCTTCTGCACCGTCTTACCTAAGAAGATGTTGAGTCGTGGGCAAG